TTTTTTTTTTTTTTTAAATTCCTGTGCTTCTGTAACCTAGGAGAGAATAGGAGAATGGCAAAGTAAGAGCAGCCACCTTAAGCTCTTTCGTGACTTTGAAGAGTGGTTACAAGGAGAAAATATCAAACTGGCCGAAGTCCTTGCTGCGGAGTCATCTTCTGTGGAAGAAACAAAGGCTCGACACATCAAGCTGGAGGTTAGTTTTCAGAGGATGTAAATGGAGGTGAAAGTTGCAAATGGAAGTGAAAAATCTGTCAGAATTAAAGAAGCATCTTGTACTAGAAAGCTCAATAATTGAAGACAAATTCTTCTAAGGAAGGTCTGTCAGAGCCGAGTCGGAGAAGGGAAGGAAGCAGCCTGGCCTGTAACTGATAATGCCAAAGGTATTCTTTAAAATAAGCTGATTAAAACTGGGGACTGGTGTTTGGCCCTAGTGTTTTGCTTTGTGTTGAACGCAGTCAGATGCAACAGCAATAGCTGTAGGAGTGAATGGAACAAATGTGTTCTGTAGTTTAGTAGGCCATTCTCTGTTATTTAAAACCCCCCAAAATAATCACAAACGTAAATGTGCTAGTCCAGAGTACCTCATAGTTTGCTTTAGTGCCACTGTTATTTTAAGTAAGTGCTAGGTTATGAAACTGGTGACTTTCTCTTTTCCTGCAGGAACTCCAATCTCGTGTTCCTGATGGTCAGCATCTCTTTGAAGAGCTTCTTCATCTTCATCCTGTCACTGGAAACTCTGAAGATCTGGAGGACTTACGATACCGATGGATGCTCTACAAATCTAAACTGAAAGAGGCCCTGAGCTCGCCGGTAGGTGACAGCACTTGACTCACAATCACTGTAGATCTCTGACATTGCTCTTTTGGGTTGTTAGACGTTGCTAGTCCCTTCAAGTGCACATATGTATGTGCTTAATTAAAAATACATTGATAGCTACCACTAAAGGCAGTGCACTAAACATAAGCACAAGCATCCTTGTGATAAAATAAAAGTCTTGCACCATCATCTTTGTTATTAAGCAATGGTCAGAATATTTTTCGAAGTGGAAAGTTTGAAACAAAACAATTGGTCAGTGTCAAAGATGCACACACTTGAAGACTGTGTGGTTGTGTGGGTGAATAACCTGCATTTACAACTCATTTTGAATGCATAAAGAAGTCATTCTGACATTTCTAGCTTTTGGCCCTTTCTCAGCAGAACATTTTCCATGGAATTCTTTTGAACTGTTCCTGCAGTAAGAATATATTTGCCATTCATTATTCGTCTCCTGATGTAGTGATCAGAGTAGCCATTGACTGACTAAACTGACTCAGAAAGTTACAAGAGAAGAACCTATTGCTACGTATTTTCTTTGTGAAATTTTCTTCATGGTCTAAGAATTCGGAATGGAATAAGAAGGAGGTGTTTTTAAAGGACATATTTTAATATGAGACCAAACAAGTTAAGAACTTACCAAGGTAGTACACATAGAAGACAATTGAGGATGACAGAATTTATCCCAGTCTGTAAAATATTCCAGGTCACGGTGAAGATATTTGCAGGTTCTTAGTGTAAGTATACATAATTATTAACTAAGATTTTCTAGCATAATGATTTATTATCTCCAAGTTCAAAATACTTTAATTTAGGGAATTAGACTTCCCAGTTGTACATTTGACACTCTTCACATACTTCATAAAGAACTGTATAAAGTGTATACTTTCTATATACTTTGTATGATATCTGAACCTGAGAACCTAAAATCTGAGGCATCAAAGCTTTTCCACTTTAAGAAACCTTGGATTCAAGTCCAAAGTTTGCGTAGAAGACAAATCCTTTAAATTGCGTGGAAGATAAGCATGACTACTATCAGTAAAGAGCATATTTATAAGAACTGTGTAATCGATTATAATGAGGTATGTTTTATTAAGCAAATACCTTGTGTAAACATCAGTATTATCAGTAGGGGTCAGTAAAATCAAGCTATTGCTACCAGAACTCTACATCTGATTCAAATAGTCAGGAACCTGAAACCATTTTAGCTGTCTTGCTAATGCATGTTAAAAAGCTCATTAAATAAAAATCACCTGCTGGTTCATTCTATCCAGATGACCATGAATGTGATGGAACCATGCCCTGCGAGGTGAGTATTTATTTATAGGTTCCACCAGGATCTGAAGTTCATGCATTTGTTTATACTTTTTTTTAACAGACTCCTAGATCTTTGGAAGGACCAGACAGATTCAGAAAGGTATGAGAGTTTCCTATCATTAAACTAAAAAAAAAAATTTGATCAGGCATTTCACAAGTAGTTATGTTAAATTAGACTTTTAAAATAGATTCTTCAGACTAATTTGGTGCTTTAGAGCCTGTCTTTGAAATACTTAAAAAAGAAAATTTATCTTCTCCACACTCTCAAAGGGAAAAAATATTAAACTTGTTTTACTTATAAAGTTTCACTCTTCAGCTATGCTTGTAATATTTCTAGAAGGCGAATGTCTATCTTCTGGCTGACTAGGGGAACTCATCTTTCACATAGCTACATGCTATATGCATTTCATTCATTTTTCAAAAGCAAGTCTAAAGAAGAGCCTAAATCTCTGTCCAAATGGTTCATGGACTAAGTGTCTAAAATAATCTTGAAAATGGGACTCGTAATTCCTCTAGGCATTTTTGAAAACTTTCAGTCATTCAGTCCACACTTTTTCTAATGCACCAGACTTCCTTCCATGAAGGATTTTTTCTTTGAAATAATGACACAAGAAACAAGAGATAATAAGTACAAGCTTCAAAAAAGCAAAATACTGACAGCTTCTTAAGTCCAAGGAACATTTCCGATAACATTCCTATGAAGTCAGTGAGTGTCTCCATTGACCTCAGTAATATTGAATAGAGGCCTTTTTTTTTACATCAGGACTTTATCTGCTTATAGACACTGTTGGCTTCCATTTAAGGCTGCTAACTCGCTTTCCCTTGTTTTTTAAAAGGAACAAAATAGGGCTTTATTTGCCCAATACAAAGTAAACTGGATGAGTAATGTGATGTATGGACATATCACTTAATCACCTAAAGACAGATTAAAGCCTTGATTTCTCCCGTTGCAAAAGTTCTTTGGAAGAAATCAATATTTAAAAGGTATTGTACAGTGCACCTCTCCTGGATGAGATGAGCTGCTACTCTGGTGCTCACAGGTGGAATAGCATCTACCATACTTCTCCCTTGTGAAATACTGACCTATTCACAGTAGCTTTCACATAGCTGAATAATTTTTTTCCGCAGTTCAACCTTCCTGATAATCTCCAAAGCATTTCCATTTTTGCATGTCTGACTCAGCATTCATAATTCAGTACTGTTGGCCATACAGTAAGATTTACACCAGATTTTCTCAGGCTGGAAAACCAATGTGACATTTTAATTCTTGGTGTGGATTCAGCCAAACCTTAGGCAATGCTGCTTTCCTCTAGAAGAGATCTAAAGAATAATCTGGAAGAACTACCAAGGACTACTCTGCTTCCATATGAACTAGTTGACTAGAGTGGTTCATAGCAAAAATCAAAAAGGAATAAACAGCAGACTTTGGGCATGATCACATCTGCCCTGAGCACTTAGATTGAGTGGGTGATATTCATTCCTCTTCAACTTCTCTGATGAGACATCTGATAATTTTCAAGGATACAGGAACAGCACAACGGGAGGCAGCACAGGTTTGTCAATAAGGCCTGTGACAGGCAGCACAAAAAAGCCTTCTCTGAGATATGAATAACTACTGACCAACACCAGAAACAACTCAGTGTGGGAAGGAATTGAAAATGGAATAGCTCATAGTGAAATGTCTCTGCTAGCACCAACAAGTTATTTGCAGTACCCCACCTGCCAACGAGGACAAACTGTGCTGTGATTTACACTTTGCTTACATCAGTGTGACTTTGTTGACTTCAGAGCATTTAAACATTGTCACTGCAATCAGAGTCCAAGTGCTACAAGCTGAGGCATCTCTCCCCCCTTCTCTCCCCCATTCAAGCTAAGGCTCTTACTATTATGTAAGCCTGCCTTGGCCTAAGATCACTGAATATCACGTAAGAGAACCAGATGATAATGTTGATCCTTTTGGGTACATCCCTATTCAGACTGACAGAAAGGGAGAAGCAAACCATCTTTTCAGTTTATTTTAAATTCAGATTTCATGATTAAAATGTGGCTTGAAA